TAATTTTTGTTAAATTGCACTGTACTTTCTTAAATATTGACGTTTTTAAGGATATAAGCTCATCCTGATGTTACACTCATCAAGAGCTTTCATTTGAGTACCCACATGCATTTTTGATATATTTTTCATATATACATATATATATAATATATAAATATATGAAAAATTGATGTGGGTACTCAAATAAAAGGTCTTAATGAGTGTCATATCAGGATGAGCTTATATCTTTAAAAATGTCAATAGTTCACGAGATACAAGGTCATTTCTTAATTATGTTAAATTGCAATGTACTTTCTTAACTATTGACATTTTTAAAGATATAAGCTCATCCCGATGTTACACTCATTGAGACCTTTCATTTGAGTACCCACATGCATTTTGATATATTTTTCATATATACATATATATAATATATATAAATATATGAAAAATTGATGTGGGTACTCAAATAAAAGGTCTCAATGAGTGTAACATCAGGATGAGCTTATAAATTCAAAAATGTCAATAGTAGCCTAAATATTTATCATCATAAATTGACTATTGGTGAGAATGAAATTTCTTCATGACGTTATCACGTAAAATTAATTTAAGTATTAAGATAATTTGCTAGTATCCGTCAACTACCATATCATGCTGAGTCAAAACACCAGTTCTCGTCCGATCACTGAAGTTAAGCAGCATTGAGCGTGGTTAGTACTTGGATGGGTGACCGCTTGGGAACACCACGTGTTGTTGGCACAATTTTTTTGTTTTTATAATTATTAATTTAATAAAAAACTCTTTATTATACATTTTAGAAATATATTACAAGTTTTAAAAAAATTTATAAACATGCTCAATGTCTCTGTTTATAATGAAAAAAAAATCATTATCAACATTAAAAAAAAAATTTTTTTTTAATCCTGATATTAAATTCTCAATATTTTTAAGTAATTTAAAATTAAGTAGTGACAATTTTTTTATTAGCAATAAATACAAATTATTTTAAATGGTAAAATATGATCTATTCTTTAACAAAATAAAGAAAAAAAATGAATAAGAAATCAAGTAATTGTACCGAGGTAAATAAAAGTACGTAACTTTAAAATTTTTATAAATTTTTTTTTATTACACTCTGAAGCTTACAATTATGTACGCACTCGTATCAAGCTCAATAAAAAAAATAAACGAGGCATACAGTTAATATTTTATTACTTTTTTTTTTTAAATATATATTATCATTATAATAAAAATTACACGATAATTTTATTTAATAATAATTAAAATTTTACGTATCATTTTTATTTTTAATTATAAATGCGATATTACAATTTATTAGTTGATAAATAATTTTTATTTTAATGTTTAAACGAAAATGTATATCATCTCATCCGGAATGAATATTTATATAGTAATCAGTAGTCTACTTTATATAAATATATAATTTTTTTTTTTTTAATTTATTATTTTATATTTGGATTCGCGTAGTAGTCGCAAATGATATCAAGTATCTGAGTCACATATTTAATTGTACTCGTAAGTCTAATTAGTCGTTAATTGTAATTTCAATTACAAATTGTAACTGTATTTTTTCTAAAAAAAATATTTTTAAGGCAATTTATTTTATTAATTTTATTGTAAATTTTTTGTGTTTCATACTAAAAGTTTTTAATTAATTATTGATGAGTATTTATTAATCTTAGACAATTTAAAATATTTTATTGTAATATGAGGCAGGTATGTATTGCATTATTTATTTTTGATTTTTAGTTTTTAAAAAAATTTCAAAATTTCAAAATATTAATTTTTTTTTTTTTTATTTTAAACGCGACTAATGAAAATTTACTTTGGTTATTGAAAATTACTGATTAAACTTACAAAAACATTTTTTTAAATAAAATGTTAGAATAAAAAAAAATTTTTTTTCTCCAAAATCAAGCAAAAAAAAAAAATTAACGACTACTATTTTTTATCAAAATTCTTTAAAATTACAAACTAATATAAGTGATGTGAAAATTTGTTAAATAAATTAATTAATTCGATTCATAGATAGATAAATCAAATTATAAAGTTTAATTATATTTTTATAAATTATGTTTCACAACTTGATGGAAAAAAAAAAAAAAAGTATTTTTTGAAATTACAAAGTCATAATTATGAAGAACTTTATTTTAATTATATTAAATGACTTATTTAGTCATCAAAATAATTAAATTAATCGTAATAATTTTATCTTAGTTAAAACTTTATTAACTGCTTATTTTGTTTATTACTTATATATTTTCCTTAATAATGGTGTAGATTATAAATCATGAACTTGGACAGATCTCAGGCTCACATGATGCGACAACGTTCATTCTGACCTTGGGGATCACCCTGAAACATAAAAATAAATAAATTAATCGATAAAGAAAAGGTACCCGTACAAAAATGGATTAATCACTCATTGATCACTGACTGATCAATCATTGATCACAGATTGATCAACAACGCATCGTTAATTGATCAGTCAGTAATCAACCATAGATCAATGAGAGATCACTTAAAGATCAATAACTGATCAATCAGAGATCAGTTAGAGATCACCCAGTGATCAATCAGCGACGACCTATAGATCATTCGGAAATCGCATAAAAATCGTCCAGTGTTTAAATGAAAATCACACAGTGGCCATTTAATTATCAAGAAAGGATTGGCCCTTTATAAAGTTATCATTACTGAATATATAACTATAAATATCATAAATAAATAAATACAAATAATACAGTGATCAATCAGCGACAACCTATAGATCATTCGGAAATCGCATAAAAATCGTCCAGTGTTTAAATGAAAATCACACAGTGGCCATTTAATTATCAAGAAAGGATTGGCCCTTTATAAAGTTATCATTACTGAATATATAACTATAAATATCATAAATAAATAAATACAAATAATAGCTGTAATAAAAAATATTAACAAGAATACTTCAAATAAATTTTATTTTCAGTATCAAGCAATTTTTATCCCATCACTGGACAATTTTTATAATATCTCCGAATGATCTATAGGTTGTCGCTGATTGATCACTGGGTGATCTCTAACTGATCATTATCAAATTATTCTCCTCAGAGTGATCAGTTATTGATCTTTAAGTGATCTCTTATTGATTTGTGGTTGATTACTGACTGATCAATTATTGAGCAATTAACGATGAGTTGTTGATCAATCCGTGATCGATGATTGATCAGTCAGTGATCAATGAGTGATCAATCCATTTTTGTACGGGATACTATAGTAAAAAAAATTTATTTCAATTATTTAAATGTGAACCCAAACCCAAGCATGTCCAGTTTATTATTTACTAAAAAAATAATCATTTTATAAAAATACATGTGAATAAATTAACACTTATTGTCAATATTTATTAGTCACAGTGATGCAAGCAGTTGATAGCGAGAAGACTTTTTCTTAAGCAGAAAAAAAAATCAACAGCTGTTTTTTTTTATATTTTTTAAATAACTTAACACCTCGAGACAAATATGACGCATTTTAATTTATACATTGAGAAAATAGGTGTTAAATAAACGAATACATTATTTTACGAATGTGAATTTTTAGTGAAGCGTGATTAGCGAATTGGTGATTTAAATTAATTCGAATGAACTAAAATTGTTTTTATAAATTTAATGACAATTGACAATATCACAGATGAGTGATAAATGATATGGTGATGATTGATGAACATCTAAAATGTTTTTAGAAACTTACATCGTCTGTCCATTATATATTAGAGCTGTACTTCCTCTCAATTATAGGAAAAGAAACGTTTCTATGGAAAAATAATTTACAAATGTATAAAAATCCCCCGGTTAAAAAAAAAAAATTAATCCGATAAATTTATGTTCTTATTATAGAATTCGCATCATGCAACTGCTTGTATCTGATTTACACCTTTAAAATTGTGAGTTAAAATTTTCATTAAAAAAAAAAAAAAAATTACTTAAAATCACATTCTGTAAAAAAAAAAACACTTAAGCGGGCTTAAAAATAAATGAAAAAAAAATATAAATAATAATTATATTACCTGTAGATGCATGTCTTCAGATTCTCTAAACCCCATTTCTCGGTGTCTTGACATTGTAGTTGACAGGTGTTGTCTCTTACGTTCAGAAGTTGCCATTTCCTAAAATCAAAAATAAATATATTGATTTAGATGCTACACTTTAATCTAACAAATTTATTAAGGGGTTACATGGGTTTCCACCGGGAAAAATGGCCTATTTTCAACAATTTTTTTTTAATAGAAAAAATGAAATATTCTATTCAAACTTTTTACTGTCTTAAAGATACACGTTTAATAAGGGATTACTGAAATGAAAAGAAAAAATATGTGCTTTAGTTAAGACTTTAAACTAGGTCTTACACGAAGAAAAAAAAAAAAAAAATGAAAATTGGATTTTTGGCAGAGGTTTTTACAAAAAAATTAAAAATTAGGCTAAAATTTCGCGGCATGTTTTTTTTTTTTGTAAATTAGTTGTAATTGAAAAAAAAAAATCCTTCGTTCCAGACCTTGTATATTATATCTCAATGTATTTGAAAACATAATTTTGAGAAAAACGCGTAAAGTTTTGAGTGACAATACAACAGCGCCTTGAGCATGCAACTTTTTAAAACTGTATCTCCGAAACTATTATTTAGATCGATTTGAACCTTTGAGACAATATTCTAAAGATGTTGTAGAGTTTAATAAAACATTAAAAAAAAAAATCGATTTTTTTTGAAAAGGTGAAATCCATGTAATCTCTTAAGGTAGTACTACCGTTACCACAAGTGTCAAATGAGTGCTTTGTGTAATTTGGCTTCAGTAGTATTTTCATCTGACAACGTCGCGTAAAAACTAAAGAGATAGAGATATTTTCTGTTTCACTCAACTTATGAGTTCATGCGCGGAAATCTATTGCGCATACGTTTATTTATTTTTACACGAATTGTCAGCTGCGTGTGTCTATTTACAGAAATGTCAGAGTTAAATTTATTAAATTGCACAAAAAAAGTATTTAATTAGAAAGGTAAAGTAAGTACCGAAAAGATGTATAAAAAAAATCTAAAACAAATCGCAGTGGCTAAGAAATTAAACGAAAAAAAAACAAAAAAAATTGGTGTATGTTTGAATTTCGCGCGCATCCTAACCTTTTCTGCGGCGTTGCGACATTTAAATTGACTAGTACTTTTTTCTCAATTATTCATTAATTACTCTTATCACAAGTTTGATGTTGATGGTTTTATTTGCACACAATATTCAATAAATTTTTCTCTTTCTATTAATACCAATATCATAGAAATCTTAACGTCCAGTTTTGTGAAATAAAATAAAGTCTGTGATTTCTCATAAGGGTCAATGTTAAAGGCAAAAATTTATAAATGTTAATATCTTTTTTTCAGGACTTGCTCAGGTTCCAAAAATTTTACTGCTTAATTATGATATTATAAAGTACCAATATGCCAAATTTCATTAAATTCTAAATGTCAATTCTAAAACCGATAGTACTACCTTAAGAATATTTTTTATATTGAAAATAAATAAAAATATTAAATTTATTTTTACCTCGCCTTCATTGTTAAGAAGATTTGTTGTCATAGAATCTCCAATGAACCATTTTTGTCCCTTCATGACAATATTTGATGGTGGTTCATGGGTTGCTCCAATATCAGATGACCATACCATGACATTAGCTCCTCCTTCTAATTTAGCTGTTCGGTGAAACTTGAAAATTGTTTCGTGAGAGTCTGCCTTACGTATTATTTGCCAGCCGCTTAGTGAGACTTCCTATTAATTATTAAAATATTAATGATTAAAAAATTAATTATTAAAAAATTAATTACTAAAAAATAAATAAGCAATTGACTTAAAAATACCTTGTTGCCTTTATTAACAAGCTTGACAAAGCGACCTTGTGGGTCAGCCTCAACAATTTCAATATCACCACGTGCTGAAGTGGAAACGCTGTAATCATTGGTGCTGCGTTCTTCACTCTCTTCCATCAGAGTCCTCTTGCGTTTTCCTCCTCTAACCGGAGTGTATCTTGACGGAGTGCTTCTACTGGAGGTAGACATTGAAGAACTATGAGCTGGTGTTATATTGAGCCTAACTTCTTCAGACTCTAGCAGTTTCCTGTAAGCAGCAATCTCCAAATCTAATCCAACCTTGATGTCCATAAGATCCTGGTACTCTTGTAGCTGCTGGGCCATTTCATCACGCATACGTGCAAGCTCTGCTTCAAGAGAAGCCAGACCCTCGGCATGCTTAGCTCTCTCACCCTCACGCAAATTCTCCAATTCCCGAATACGCGAATTAAGATTGTTGTTCAGCGTCTCAAGTTCGGTGATGCGCTGGTTGAGAGTATCAATGCGAGTCCTTGTCTGGCGAAGTTCTTCAACCGCGACACTAGCTGCTCCGGAATTACGCTGAGCGTGTGAGGTCAAGTTCTTGATCTTGTTTTCATAAAGAAGCTCAATTTCTTCTCTGTTGGATCGCATCTGCGCCTCATACTGATCTCTCAGCTCCTGCAAAGACTGTTGCAATTTAGCTTCATACTGCTCTGCGAGTCTACCGTCGATCTCCGATATCTCCACTTGGCGACGGCTTCGAGTTTCCGTCAGCTCCTGCTGGAATATCTGGTCCTTAAAACTGATATCCTCTTTCATGCTTTGGATGTTATTCTCCAGATCAATTCGCTGAAGCGTCTCCTCTTCCAGGTGTTTACGCGCATCATCCAGCAATGCTTTCAAACGCTCAACTTCTTTCTCCATTTCACGCTCATGCTCTTGGTGTTTCTTACGCTCAGCTTGGATCTGGTTGTACTGCGACTGCAAGTCGTTGTATCGTGTCTCGTAAAGGATTGCATTACGCTCGGAAATTTGAAGATCCTTTGTCTTCTTCTCCAATCTAAAAATTATAACCAAAAATTTTATAAATCATGAGTCAATAGAAATAATTTTTTTTTTTTAATTATTATCAAAGTTTCAATAAAATTTTGCTGTATTAAATAATGACTTTTGTTAAATTGCACTGTTTTTGTTTTTTTTTTAACTATTGACTTTTTTAAAGATATAAGCTCATCATGATGTTACATTCATCAAGAGCTTTCATTTGAGTACCCACATGCATTTTCATATATTTTTCATATATACATATATGTAATATATATAAATATATGAAAAAATGATGTGGGTACTCAAATTAAAGGTCTTGATGACTGTAACATCGGGATGAGCTTATATCTCAAAAAATGTCAATTGCATACAAGATACAAGGTCATTTCTTAATTATTGATATTTTTAAAGATATAAGCTCATCCCGATTTTACACTCATCGAGACTTTTAATTTAAGTAGCCATATGACATTTTTTATATATTTTATATATATGGTATTTGTGAAATATATAAATATATAAAATATATGAAAAATTGATGTGGGTATTCAAATGAAAGGTCTTGATGAGTGTAACATCAGAATGAGCTTATATCTTTAAAAATGTCAATAGTTCACGAGATACAAGGTCATTTCTTAATTATGTATCTAGAGATAGAGTCCAAATTTAACCATAAAAACCCATTTTATCATATAAATACTGACCACAAAATTTCGCTTATTCTCTTTATAATATAGATTAAATAATAAAAGCTGTAAGAAAATATAACTTAGTTTAAATTCCAAGATAAAATTCAAATGAATAATTAAAGCCAGCGATAAACCACAAGTAGCTCAAGTGTTTTTTTTTTCTATCAAGGTCACGAGGAAATCGATGATAGTGAGAGTGTATCTTTTTAAAATATTCCTCTCCGTAAAAGTGTTCAATAGGAGTTTCCTTTGATAATAAAATAAGACAGCAAAAGACCTCATATCAATGATAGCTCACGTATTTAAATTTTATGCAGTATCTACCTGCGTATCCTTGGCCCACTTGCGTGTGCCATAAACGAGAATGATTTCATGATGACAAACCCACCAAAATATTTATTCGAAATTTATTGTAATAAATTTCTTCACAGGTCAATTAATTATCATCATTACAACAACATCAGTAACAATAATAATAATAATAATAATAATAATAATAATAATAATAATAATAATGATCAAAGCATTTGAAACTAAAAATAACCATCGCGGTGATATTAAATAAATACAGTCGTGATAAAAAATCATAAAAGAAGAAAAAAATAAAGAAGATGGTTGGATTAGTTGCATGACTAGCAGCAGCTATTTCCAGCGATACGACCCACATTGAGAATTTTATTTCCCGCCAATCTGACCAACTGGTAGCGGTAGCAATATTGTATATGTACGCCGATTGTACATCGTTAATCATTTACATTACTCGGGTTTTCACTGAACAAGTTTACCTGAATAAACAGAAGTGAGTTTGATAGTAAGCTCATGGTTAATTAGGAATTGATAGTACGCTTACGCTACAAATGACATCATCTTTATATTCTTTATGATTATGACAACAGCAATAACGACGATATTGGAGATTTAATGTGATGGAAGAATCTGTTTGTTACTCTACTCATTGTAGCTTCACATTTACTTTTTTTTTTTTTGTAACTGTATATTCCAGGGATATATCTCCATTCTCGCTTTGTGAAACAATCATCAGAGCAATGTAACGAGGTTGATGCAAAAAAGAATTACAGCGTCCGTACAGTTAATTCTATGCATCATCAACCGTAAGAATTTTCGACGCCTTTTCTAAGAAATGAAAAAAAAAATAAACACTAATAAAAGTTGGAGAAAAAACATGCCAGTTAACTCTGCAAGGGGTAAAATAGTTTGGATGAATTTCATATTTTTTTTTTATTTTGCTAAATTAAGTAATGAAAGTACTTTATCTTTAACGTTGTCATTTTTTTTAATGTAATATTATAATAATGTTTTTTTTTTTTTTTAAGTAAATATTATTTTAATAAATTATCGCGGTAAATATTTTAGATATACTAAATTTTTTATTAGACATGAAGAAATAATTTTAAACTTTTTTTTTTAATTAATAAAATTTTTTGAATAAAATAATATAATATTAATGTTGTATTTTTTAATAAGTAAATATTATTTTAATAAATTATCTCGGTAAATATTTTTTTAGATATATTAAATTTTTTATTAGAGACATGAAGAAATAATCTTAAGCTTTTTTTTTTTTCAAATTAATAAAATTTTTTGAATAAAATAAATTATAAATAATTTTACATAATTATTTTTTATGATACTCGGAATTGAATTTTAATTCTTTGTAATAAAACCACGATTTTACATACCCGCTTTTTTTTTTATATATATTTAATTAATTCTGTAAAATTTTTAAATCGCTTTTGAGCTAGTAAATAAACTATATTATTATTATTATTATTATTATTATTAAGTCTCAAGTATTAGAAATATTTTATTTTAAATGTATCGACGTTTTTTTAGAATTTTATTTTGTCATAGTAGATAATAATTCTTACATTATTATTATTATTATATTTTTTAATTGTTGGAAAATACCCGATTAAAAAAAAAATAAAAATTAATTAGTATCTGAACTAGATAATACTTTAAAATAAAAAAATCACATGAATTATAGATAACGATAAAATAGAAAAAAAAGAATCTATGAAATTAATTCAAGATTTACGCAAAAATAGTGATGATGAAATAGCAAGGTGATGTCACCTATGTTGGTATAAAAATTCATTCATATGTCAAGTTCGTATTTTGATTTGTATGCTCAATATAAACACAATATTTTATTCTACTTTATTTTTATCAGGCCCATTAATACTCTCCAATCTATCTCTACCTACTTAATATTCATTTACATATAAAAATAAATATCAGTAATGAAAATAAAATAAAATTTTCGACCTATTGATTGTTCATCGTAATTACTGTAATTTAATTGGAGCAAAGTTAAGAATAATCATTAAAAAAATGAACAATGTCAAAAATAGCCGGGAGACGCTCGACTGACATTTTTGAGTCTGGTAGTAAAGAACCGGTAGGCTGACATCATCACCGTATAGTAAACGTGACGCAATTGTTACTGTGTAAGTACACACACATTGCTTGGTACACACTTACGTGTATTCGTATGTATACAACGCTAAGGATGTATTAGGTGCCGTGCCCTCTGAATAAACACATATTTTACTCCAGATATTATTCCCGGTAATTAATAAAAAAAAAAAAGACAATGGACGGCAGATTTAATGGAATTTTTCAATCTATTTTAAAAAATAATTTTAATATTTCTTAAATATAAACAAAATCATAAATATCTGAAGATAATAATAAATATGACTGACATTTACGATAATATAATGAGAATGATTGATCAATTGGTTTATCACAACTGATATCTAGTTATCCATTCAGGAACAATTACTACACTTGTATATTAATCAAATAATCTAAATACAAAATCATCCAAGATAAAATAATTAATTTTAGAAAAATAAAAAACAGTAAATTTATTTGAGAGTCGGCTTTAAAATTTTATTCAACTCTTTACTTATACTAGAATTTAAATTTACGCGCGCCTTGACTATAGAGTTTGCATATATTTTCATGCTTATGATATATTTGACCAATCACGTTACGAATAGTTTGATGCCACATACATTTCATCTCAATTTTATATTAGGACTAGAATTTAACTTACGCGCGCAAGCGCGCGCCTCATATTTATTGTCATGATATATTCATGTGTCGTTTATGTATATTATATTCACTTTTAACCAATCAGAATGAGAATATTTATTTTCAACCAATCACATCACGAATAGATTGGTTTCACATACATTTCATCTCAATTTTATTTATAATTGTAGTCGAAATTATATTTTACCTAACTAAACCGATGGCAATAGATTGAAATACTCTCAGGATACCTTCATCATGAAGTACTGAAGTTTCGTAATAACTAGCTCCAATCATTGTTGCATATTTTTGAGCGTCTTCCGAATCAACTTTACGTTGATCCGAAAGGTCATTTTTATTTCCTACGACAACCAATACCATTGGCCCCTCAACATTTCTTCGTAATTCAGTGATCCACGATTTTACAGCAGAAAATGTGTTGTATTGAGTAATATCGAAGACTAAAAGAGCAGCGTTGGCATTTCTGTAGTACATTGGTGCCATTGATTTGAATCTTTCTTGACCTGCAGTGTCCCATATCTATTAAATTTTAATTAATGATGAAACTGTTATCCTGAATAATTATTTATAATTAATTAATATGATTACCTGAATCTTTACCCTTGTATTTTCCAAATTTATATTACAGTTAAAAAATGATGCACCAATTGTGGGACTAGCATGTGGATTTAATGATTTTCCTGAGTACCGACTTATCATACTGGTTTTGCCAACACCTGTAAATTAGTACAAAATTTATTTTAATAAAATTGAGGTAGATAACTATAAAAAAAATAATTATTGAGTATGAAAGATAATTTAATCAAGTAATTTGTGCAAAAAAAATCACCTTAACGTTATAGATAATTATGTGAATAATAATTATATCTTAGAGATAAAATGCGTCATAAGCTGTATTTAAAATAATTCTTTTAAAAGAAATAATTATAATGTTTGGCAATTAATATTAGTCAGGTAAATTAATTAATAATATTGCTTTTATAAATTTTTCAGTTTAATTTCAAACAATAAAATTTAATGAAAATATAACTTTTGACATTCAAATATAGTATTGTCAACACATTTTTTAAACAAAAAATACATTTACTAATTTCTGTTTGTTGAGTGGTGTAATTTTTTTAATTAATTATTTAAGAGATATTTAAAATAAAATGAATGTGTCAACTTATAAGCCAACATTTCTGATTTGAATTAAATAATAGTAGTTATTTTAATCAACTTCATAAAACGCATTTTCTTTATGATATGACGAATACATTGTTTCACTATTATATTGTGATAAAAATAAATCAGTAATAGCGAATGATGACTTCCCGTTTAAATAACACTGACTAAAAAAATAGATTTGATAAATTAAATATTCAAATATAAATGATAGTATTTTAAAATTTTTTACTCATAAATAGAAATCAAAATCATCTTTTTATTGTCTTCTAGTGAAGTAATTATTAATATATATTTAACTTGACAAGAAAATAAATAATTCAATGTTAATAATATTTATAATTAATCATCCATGATATTAATAATATACACTTGGAGGATTAAAGTAATCTCAAAACTTAAATTCTCAAATGATTAATCTTAAAATATCTGCGTTGTCCAGTTGTTGACATTGTGATAACATCCGAATACGTCATGAAAATTTAAGACCCTATCAGGAACACGTAATTATTATTATATAATTATCGAATATCTAAATGACGATAAACGAATAAATAGATAAATTTTTTTAAGAAAAAGAACATAAAAAACATACCTTGAGAACCGAGCACTACTAATTTTCCATCTACTGTGTTCATGATGACTATCTCGAAATAATTCGCTACATACTAAATAACAGGTTGCTTACTTTCAAAGTTATTGATTGTAACCTTAAGGACCTTAAATAATGAATATTAAATGATAATAATATGCTTATGTACATTTATGACTTAATCATTTAAAAAGTCTAATCTATATAACTGTTTACGGCATTATTGTTGATGTTGATGAGTTTACTAACCTTGTGGTGATTGAATATCAGCACAAAGCACAAAACGCACACTGTAATAGACGAAAACAGATTTTATTATTATTATTATTATTATTATTATTATTGTTATTGTTATTCTTTTGGCTCTGGGTATTTTTTCCCATTCGGCCGTTGGTAGATTGTGTGGTGGGTATAGCTGATGTGTTGGTTAGGTACTGGCCTTAACCTAGGCGGCGCTGGAGCGAACCTCAGAGAATCGAAAGATATCAACAAATGTGAAAAATCTTTGGACTCGCTGGGGATCGAACCCGCGCCTTGCCACATGAATTGTACGAACGGACTAACGCATTGAACCGCTCGGCCAACATCGAGGCGAAAACAGATTTTGACAGTTAATAAAATGCAAAAAGTAACAGAAGGAAAGAGGTATGTATCGTTTCTGGTTAATGCATAGTTTGAATACTACTAGAGTGTGCTCTTTGCAAATTTCTGGTCAGCTGACTAGACAGCGGTAAATTTTTACAAATTTTCGAGTGTATTGTATTGTAAGAAATTTATTTTTTACATTATTATATGTAATTATTAATTTTTATAGTATTTTTTATTGTGTATTGTTGAAATATTTGACATGTATTTTAAGATTGAGGTAGGAGAGGATATAAATGTGTAAGGATTTATTTGTTAGCTTCATGGTCAGGAAATATATTCAAAACATAAGACAAATTAATTAATATCCATTACTTAGTCCATAATAATTTGTTTGAGTTTATTTTTATGAAGGACCGAAAACATTTATGAAAATTAATTTAGCAGATATTTAGTAATTTTTAGAACTTTTGTTACAAATAAATTATAGCAAAAAAAAAATTGACATGTAGAAATTAACAAAATTAAAAATGCAATTATTTAAAAATCATTTTTTCGAATTAATTTAATTGTTAAATAAAATTAAAATTTTTTTGCTCAATTTTTTAATAATAAATACGTCACTAATAAATTGAGCGGTAATTTCAATTCAGCAGTAACTTCTTTGAGTTTAGATTAATTGCATTATTTAAATATTGAAAAAAAAGTAATAGTTAATAATAATTTAACAAGTCTCTTATTTATTAATCATTGATTTAAAAAAACTGTATAATTATTAAAAAAAAAATTGGAACATTAATTTCATAAAACAAAAAATTTTACAAGTACCTAATAGGGAATTATTGATAAAAAAAAAAAAAAAAAAAAAAAAAAAAAGTAAGTAAAGAAATTTTCTTTTATTAATTAAACATTATTTCAACAGCTGTAACAAAGGTAGACAGATTTATTATTTTATTCTTACAATAAAAGTTGACATCGTAGATAATTTAATGAATACCTTTATATCGGCATGTATAAGTTTGCAGGTTTTCCTTATAAATAACATATATATATTATAAATTTTCAATAATTCTCAATTTATTAAATACAACCCCGAATCAAAAAAATTATGCCAATAATTTAATGACTCTTACTCAACTAGACAAAAAATATATATTTATATTTTATTTAAAGAATATCTTTATTATGCTATTATTTTATTAAATATATATGTATATTTATTTATTTATTTATTTATATCCTTTCTGTAACAACATCTTCAATATATATATTTTTGCTCTCTCTTATTTAATGTATATGCCTATTATATACATTTATCATACTCCTTGTCATATGTCTCGTGACGATTGAATGTGTTAACATTTTAAATTATTTAAAAGGTTACAATAATTGAAATATTTTATCATAATTAAATATCTCTTTTTGGTCTTACAGCGCAGTAACTTCAGTCGTCTTTGGTAGAGATGTGCGTACAGCATTTACTCGCGCTATATTAATTATTAATTATAATTTCTTTACATAATTGTTTATTCTGACCGTTTATTTTATTTGTTTTAAGTTAAAAACTTTTATACGTTTTTTTTCATAAACATTTCTGTTCCCTGAGTCGGCGTATCAACCTTTTCAGTCTTTACCACAGTTACAATTTATTTTTTTATTTATTTAGCTTCATTTATTTATTTATAACTTCCATTTATTTATTCATTTTGTTAACACCAATTACCACACATCAGGTAAAACAGTCAATGATTACGTTTTTTATTCAAAGGCATACATTTATTTATTTAATTATTTACTTGGTTAGTTTTTTGGTCTTTTTAAAAAAAAAAAAACAATTATTTATAATAGCAATAATAACAATAATTATTAAAAAAATTATTATTAATTAATAACTCTAAACAATTTCAGCCGACATAAATCAAAAAATACCTGCAAAATTATTTACTTAATTTATTAAAATAATATTCAGGAATGTGCGCCAGACTAGAAGGCGCAAAAAGGCAACGGCCAATTCCAATAATATTTATAATAATAATAATAATAATAATAATAATATTAATAATATAACAATTTATTTATTATTTTAAAAGGCTCTACTCATGATCACACTTTGCTGCAGCTTTCTTCTTATCTTTATCTCTCTCTCTTTCTCTCACTTAAATTAATATTTATTTATTTAATTTTAATTAAATATATAATCTAATTACTATACAAAATATATTAATCATCTAATTATAAATTGCACGAAATGATTATTTTCCAATTTACTCATTAAGAGCCAGTTAATTAATTTATCAATAATTTAAATTATTGATTAAAAAACTGGCAGAGTAAACAATTATTACTTTAATTTCTAATGCATTGCAATGTTGTTTTCTTTAAAATACTTAACGAAAATTTATAAATTTATAAACAATGACAAAACAAATATAACATACAAAACAATTAATTTCGAGTCAATGATTAATTTCTATACAATTCATTTGGAATCCTGGAAATAATTTTAAAGTTATAATAAATTCATATTATTTCATATTTATTAAATTATTATTATTTTTATTTTATAATAATTTTAATGAAATAATATGAATTTTTCATAACTTAAAAATTTTTTCCGGGTTTATTTTTTCCGATTATAATTTATTTGATATAAACAAATTAATTACTTAAGGGAGTCTTCTAGTTTGAAACTCTGATTTTAGAGCATTTTTTTGGGATTTTTTACAAAGACCAATGAATAATTTCAAGAGTATACAGTTAAATTTTTAGCTAAAAACATTCAATAGAATTAAAGTTATAGTAGTCTTAAGATCCTTGCCTCGGAAAAAATTGACTCTTACTTCCTCAATGATATCAACTGATTGACTCATTTAAAGCAAAAAAAAAAAACCCACTTAAATACACCGAGTAAACTACGATAAAAAAAAAAGTTTTGAAAATTGGATTTTTGACAGACTTCGAAACAAAAAAGTCCGAATTTAATTTCTCTTTTTGTCAAATTTTAGATCCAAAAAAAAATAAAAGTTTTCAAAATTTTTTTTGATAGTTCACTCGGTGTATTTAAGTATACAAATTAAAATCCCATCGAGTTATTTTGTTTCAGAGAAGCCAATCAGCTAAAATCATGGAAAAAATAAGCGTCAATTTTTTTTCAAGGCAGTTGTCTTTACTTAAATTCTATTGAATATTTTTAGCTAAAAATTTAACTGTATACTCTTGAAATATGTAGAAGTACCATTTGTGGCCACTGTACCGTTTATGGCCATTTATTGTTCAAATAAACGATAGAAATAAATTTATATTAATAAACCATTACAAAGTCAATCTGTTTTAAGGTAAAAGACCCAGTTATTGACATTGTCCTAGTTGTTTGGAACTTGCAATTTTAGTCTAATTAAAAAAATAAATTCTTCCCAAAAAATCAACTATCGTAAAATTTATAATTCAAAAATTATATTTATTAGAGTTAATTTATTTCTTTTAATTAAAATAAAATTGCAAGTGTCAATAACTGGGTCTTTTACCTTAATATAAATTTTTTAAAACTCAAAAAAAAAATATGGTTATATTATAATTTTTTATAAATTAATTCAAATGTTCTGCTCAAAAACAGTACTTGTACCCTCTAAATAAATAGTAAAAAGTTCAAAGTTCTCTTCATTGCTCTACAAAAAATCCTCAAAAATCAGAGCGTCAAATCAGAAAATCCCCTTAATAAATTTACAAAAAAAAAAAAATAGACATAGGAATGATGAGTCTGAAATTGAAAAGACGAGTTATCAACCCAGACTAATGTCCAATTAGTTAGTAAACAAAATGCGAAGCAAAAAAAAACCCCTTAAAAATATAAATTGGCTAACTAAATTAATAAAAAAAAAAAAACTACTAATTATTCAGGATACCTTTTAGGTCGTTTCCCTGATTTTTGTTTTCTGTGTAAATTAGACTCGTGTTTATCTCTCGAATCATTAGAAGACTCAAAGGAAGTATCAGAGCTAGTAGTAGCAAGCTCAAGTTTTCTCTTCCGAGATCTCGTAACCACTCCACTGCTTTTGCTAGAATTCGAAGAACCTTCACAAACCTCAACCTTATGATCCCGTTTGCGTCTTTTATTCTTAGGCAGTGCATCGTTCAATTCGCAGGCACGTTGTCGGTCTTTGTTGGTATCCAGAATAATTTTCGGCGAGCTCGAGTCCGAGGACGAGGACGACAAAGAGCTCAAGTACTCATTAACCCTTTCCTCACTAAAATCAAAAGCATTTGGCTGAGCCGGAGACGCGGAGGTAGTGACACTGGTAGTAGCACTAGGCGGTCTAAGCTGCTGAATCGACGGACTTGAAGAAGCATTCGAAGAAGAAGAAACCGAGCTCGAAGTCGAGCGCTTGTGTAGCTTTCTCCTCTGAGCAAGCTTGGCTCCATCAACCTCCTTCAGCCTAAAACCCGCAGTTCTATCACTTGGTCCCGAAGTGGAGGCTCTCTGGTACTCCAAGGATAACTTTGGCTCCGCCAGCCAAGCGTGGTTCACCAGGCTGCTCGCAGTGATTCTAGAAACCGGGTCTGGGTTCAGCAGTCCTTTAATCACCGAGCTAGCATTGGAGCTGATGTTCTTCCACTCGTCCAAGTTAATCTCTTTAGATTTTATCCTAGAAGCAAGATCCGGAGTTCCGGCTTTGCAAGCTGGCTTTCCGGACAAGAGCGAGTACAGAACAGCGCCCAGGCTCCACATGTCGCAGCTCTCGTCGTAAGCCTGGTGCTTAAGAACTTCCGGAGCTGCGTACTGATAAGTATAGCAGGGAGTGTGAAGTGGCTCACAGGAGCGCTTCAACCTCGCGAATCCAAAGTCTACAACTTTAACCAGAGAATTAGACCCAGTGTGAGAGTAAACGAGGTTCTCCGGTTTTAAATCTCGGTGAACTACGCCACGAGAGTGGATAAAGTGAACCGCTGATGATAATTGCTTCATTATTTTTCTGGCTTCTTCTTCAGTGTACGTCTTAACAGAGCTCAGTAGCTCACCACCAGCCAACAACTCCATCACAATATAAGTATGAGCTCGGTCCTGGTAGACATCTATAAGCTTGACAATATTGGGATGACCTTGACAAGCACGGAGAATAGCAACTTCGCGACTGCTGTCTATTCTTCTGCTGATAATCTTCACAGCAAATTCTTGTTTGGTTTGCCGATGACGGCAACGGCGGCAAACTGAGAAACTTCCGTCGCCTAGAGCTTCTTCGTGGAGGTCCAGCTCGAATATTTGGAAGAATGTTGACTCTTCTAGCTCTATTGAAAGAATGTTGGACACTGAAGGTCGGGTTTGACAAGCGATTTTGTCGCGGTAGATTTGGTCGCTTATTAGGTTGTTGCTGAAGATTATTGAAGGGGCGACGTAAGAGTACCCGCGGAATAATTTATCGTAGTTTGGTGGGACTACTGCTGGACTGTCGGTGGCTACCATTCTGGTGAACTCGTCCGCGAAATTACTGGTGTCGAGCTCGTGAGCTATTTTAGGCACAAACGGCGGCGGGATTTGGCGTTTTTCTAAGGCTTCCCAATTAAACGGTGGCGGCGCTTCCATGAAGAAAGGGTGATCTTTTATCTCCCTAGCGTCGCGTGGTCCACCACCCAAACGCTGTCGTGGATTTTTTACTAACAATCTTTCGATTAAATTTTGGACTACTGGGCTTAGGTTCTTTGGTATCGGAGGCTCGGTTGTTAAGATTCGGTTTGAGATTTCTTGCTGGTTGTTCTTCTGACCGTCCACTGTGAATGGGGATGCTCCGGTTAGTAGTTCGTACATTAGAACTCCGACGCTCCACCAATCGACTGCCTGAAAATTGATATTAGTATTAATATTTACCTAAATTTTTTTTTTTTTTAATATTTTATCTTTATATAACAGATGGAGTATAGTTGAAATTCTTGTCATTGTCGTGGACTTTTTTTTCAAGTTGACAGAAAAATTATCTGAATATTAGTTTTTAAATTTATATACTTGTTCTTGAAGTTAACTGACGTAAAATTTTTTTATCGATAGTGATGATAATAAAAAAAAACACTTAAAAGGTTAATGAACGTACTAATAGCTAATGTAATTAAAGTTTAATTTTTTTTAGTTGGTTTGTTAACTCATATTTATTTTTAACCATGAGATCTAAGATTTTGTAATACATTAATTTAAAAATAAAAATTCTGTCAGTATCTTCAAAATTTTACGATAGAAAAAAAATAATAATAATAATAATAAATATTATTAAGAGAGTAAGCAAAATTTTGTGGCCAGTGTATTTAGATAAAATGGGTTTTTATTAAATTTGGTATCTTGTGAACTATTGACATTTTTAAAGATATAAGCTCATCCCGATATTACACTCATCAAGACCTTTCATTTAAGTACCCACATCATTTTTTCATATATTTTATATATATGTATATATATGAAAAGTACATCAACATGCATGTGGGTACTCAAATAAAAGCTCTTGATGAGTATAACATCAGGATGAGCTTATATCTTAAAAAATGTCAATAATTAAAAAATGACCTTATATTTTGTGCACGATTGACATTTTTAAAGATATAAGATCATCCCGATGTTACATTCATCGAGACCTTTCATTTGAGTACCCACATCAATTTTTCATATATTTATATATATATTATATATATGTATATATGAAAAATATATCAAAAATGCATGTGGGTACTCAAATGAAAGCTCTTGATGAGTGTAACATCAAGATGAGCTTATATCTTTAAAAACGCCAATAGTTAAAAAAGTACAGTGCAATTTAACAAAAGTCATTATTTAATAAAGCAAAATTTTATTTTTTTATAGTTCACAAGTCACTGCAGTCACGTAGTGACTGCAAGGTTGCTAGTTATCACTAAAAATATTATTAATTAACAAACTCTACTTTAAAGTAAATTATTCTTGGTAATTATATGTAAAGTAATGTAAAAAGAACACCATTCTCTTGATTCAACGCAAGCTTATTTATCGTAAATTAATTAAAAAAAATAAAAATAAATAAACATTGTATGATTAAATCATAAAAAATGTCACTTGCATTGAATTTGTCTTGTTAACTACTTAGTATTTAATAAACAAAGAAAATAATAATACTGCACAGCTTGAAATAGAGATTAGTGATGCCAGTATTAAAGTAAAACGTTAAAAAGTCCATAATAGCAATAAACTTGTATCGTAATGACTGTGATACTTACAATATCGTGACCAGCTGAGCCACCTTGCACGACTTCCGGTGCCATGTACTCGATGGTCCCGCAGAAGGAATAGGCACGGGCATTGTTGTCTCTCTCATGTGGCAAAAATTCCTTACTGAGACCAAAGTCTGTGAGCACAATATGGCCTTCGCGATCCAGCAGTATGTTCTCTAGTTTTATATCGCGGTAAATGATACCCAGCTGTGTTTGTTAAAAGATCGGTAAATTAATTATTATTATTATTATTGATAATAGAAATAGCAATTGCAAATAACATAATGATATTTAAAAAAATAAGTAAGAATAATTATTTAGTAAGCAGACATTATATTTACTGCAATATAAATAATTTTTTTAATTTTTATACATACTAGAATTGAATTTTGCGCGCGCAAGCGCGCGCCTAACTATAGAGTTTGCATATATTTTCATGCTTATGATATATTCGACCAATCACGTTACGAATAGTTTGATGCCACATACATTTCATCTCAATTTTATATTAGGATCTTATTTAAGATTTTTTTTAGTTATTATTATTATTAATTAGTAATCTTTGGTAATTAATATATCATTTCTTTTTACAAACAATACTATCAAGAAGAAAAAAAAATAATTCAATTTTAAAATAAAAATTTTTTAAAAATAATCCAGACTTTTTTATTTAAGTTAACAAGTAAAGAGTTTACTCAATTGAATAAATAAATATTTTAGTGAATATACCTTGTGAAGATGTTCGAGAGCTATAATGATTTCGCCAATGTATATTCTTACTTGGTCCTCAGTAAAATGATCGCGTTGATATAAATGAGTAAACAGTTCTCCGCCATTTACGTAATCTGGAATAAATTTATTCAAATTATTACTTAAAAAAATACGTACTCTAAATTTATGTAACATTATTACATGCTTTGACATTCAAAGTTAAGTAGGTATATTGAATCATCAAATGAATAATTAAAAAAAAAAGAAATTTATAAATATTATCGATATTATTAAGAGAATAAGAAAAATTTTGTCTCCAGGATAATCATATGATTCAATCGGTTTTTTTTAGTGAAATTTAGTGTCATTGCAAAGGTCTTGAATTTGTGCCTTTTCAAGGTTTCATATCATTCTCACCGATAGTCAATTTATTATAAGTATTTAGGCTGCATTCGAAAATTTCCTATTTCTAGATACATAATTAAGAAATGACCTTGTATCTTGTAAACTATTGATATTTTTAAAGATATAAACTCATCCGGATGTTATACTCATCGAGACCTTTCATTTGAGTACCCACATCAATTTTTCATATATTTATATATTTATATATATGTATATATGAAAAATATATCAAAATTCATATGGGAACTCAAATAAAAGCTCTTGATGAGTGTAACATCGGGATGAGCTTACATCTTTAAAAATATCGATAATTAAGAAATGACCTTGTATCTTATGAACTATTGGCATTTTTAAAGATATAAGCCCATCCCGATGTTATACTCATCAAGACCTTTCATTTGAGTACCCACATCAATTTTTTCATATATTTATATATTTATAAATATTATATATATGTATATATGAAAAATATATCAAAAATTGATGTGGGTATTCAAATGAAAGTCCTTGATGAGTGTAACATCGGGATGAGCTTATATCTTTAAAATGTGAATAGTTAAGAAAGTACAATGCAATTTAACATAAGAAACGACCTTGTATCTTGAGAACTATTTTTAGAGATATAAGCTCATCCCGACGTTACACTCATCGAGACCTTTCATTTGAGTACCCACATCAATTTTTCATATATTTATATACATTATATATATGTATATATGAAAAATATATCAAAATTCATATGGGAACTCAAATAAAAGCTCTTGATGAGTGTAACATCGGGATGAGCTTACATCTTTAAAAATATCGATAATTAAGAAATGACCTTGTATCTTATGAACTATTGGCATTTTTAAAGATATAAGCCCATCCCGATGTTATACTCATCAAGACCTTTCATTTGAGTACCCACATCAATTTTTTCATATATTTATATATTTATAAATATTATATATATGTATATATGAAAAATATATCAAAAATTGATGTGGGTATTCAAATGAAAGTCCTTGATGAGTGTAACATCGGGATGAGCTTATATCTTTAAAAATGTGAATAGTTAAGAAAGTACAATGCAATTTAACATAAGAAACGACCTTGTATCTTGAGAACTATTTTTAGAGATATAAGCTCATCCCGACGTTACACTCATCGAGACCTTTCATTTGAGTACCCACATCAATTTTTCATATATTTATATATTTATATATATGTATATATGAAAAATATATCAAAATTCATGTGGGTACTCAAATGAAAGCTCTTGATGAGTATAATATCAGAATGAGCTTATATCTTTAAAAACGTCAATATTTAAGAAAGTACAGTGCAATTTAACAAAAGTCATTATTAAATAAAGCAAAATAGTCACATAGTGACTGCAAGGTTGCTAGTGATAAATAAAAATTAAAAAATAAATTTACCGAGTATTAAATGAAGTTTAGCGTCAGTCTGAAAGGCATAATGTAGAGTAACCAAAAATGGACTGTCTCTAACAGCCTCCAATACTTGTCTCTCTGTTTTGGTATGCTCAGTTGTCTTTTTCTTCTGTACAATTGACGCCTTTTTTAAGACCTTCATCGCGTAGAGACGGCCAGAGTCAGCGCCCGTTCTTTTCCGCACCAGGAAGACTTTACCGTAAGCTGAAATTAAAAAAAAAGTCAATAAATAAAATTATCAATCATCATATCATCATTTCTTAAATTAATACAAAATAACATAAATAAAATCTAAGTGGTTTATTTAATTTTACCTCCAGTTCCGAGGACTTTGAGCAGATCAAAGTGCGTCATATCGACCCTCTGGCCTCCACTGTCTGCTAAATTCACTGTAACAAAAAATTTTAAGTTTTATTAAACACTTTTTTTTCAGATAATAATCATAGACATCATTTTTTAAATAATTGACTTTAATTTTATAATTTTAAATTTTATTTATTTATGCAAGGTGATTACGAGAATCTTTTTGGTCTCTTATCATTATATATTTAAAGGTAAACATTTAATTATGGCAAATATTCCAGATTTTAAATATTAAATTATTATTTTTTATATTTAATGTTGCCAATATAATTCTAATGAAGTTCATTTTTTTTTTTTTTTAATAATCAGTTCATTCAATTATCATAAATGCATGTCTGGGCAATAATGTAAATATTTTTTTTAGACTTGGAACAACTGTTAAAATACATACTTTTACAATTGTAAGTCATTAATCAGTATTGTATGAAAATTTTACTTAATAATAATAATAACAATAATAATAATAATAATAAAAGAAAAAAATTTTATAAAATTTTTTGTGAAAAAATCTGAATATTTTTTGTGAAAAATTTTTAATATTAATAATTATTAATAATCATTTTTAATAAATTTTAATATTTATTGTGAAAAATTTTTAATATTTTTTAATAACGCATAAATTTAAATATGTTTAAACTTTGCACTTTATAATCAATGCACAATTTTTTATTTATTTGAAAAAAAAAATATTTTAAAATATTAATAAACATTCTGGAAGCTTTTAAACTAACATAAAATTTTTTTTCTCTTTAAAATTTTAAAATCTTTTAAAAAATCTTTGAAAAATTGGTCTTGAAAATTATTTAGAATTTTCTTACATAGTTTTAATGGATGACACAATCGATTAAATTTCTGGGAAAGTTATAAACGGTTTAGAATAATTTAAAGTAATTCTAGAAAATAGTTATTGATGTTGACGCATCTAGGAATTTATCTACGACTTAGAATTAATATTTTTATTTTCAAGTTTTTAAATTAGATTGAGTTTTGTGTAAAATATAATATTAAAAATTAAATTTCAACAAAAAAATAAGTGATTTAACCAAAACAAAAATTATCAATAATCACTAAAAAAATAAAGGCGCTAACTCTTATCAATAGTAAAAAAATATATGTAAGCGTTAGCGCAACAAAATATTTTTTTAATATGATAGCCTACATTTTGAGAATGTTTAATGTACCAAAGTAGGTCAGGTGATAAATAAAATAGAAGCTTGCCGTGTTATCAGCACCAAATTAATGAATTTTTAAAATATTTTCCACTTAATTAATTATTCTTCAAGGCAACTGGCAAAAATAAAAAGATATATTATATGCCTAAAATAAATGAACACATCTCATTACTCACTACTCATTATTTCATTATTAAATTATATAATAACGCAAGCGGGCGGATGATTTAACAGCCTGAAAAGATGAAAGTAAAAAGAGAAATTATCATGAGACAGTACATACATGTGATATCAAGTATGATACATTGTTTAATTTCGTTAAATATAGCCCTAGTATGAAGTATCAAGTAGGAGGTATTGCGCCATGGCTCAACCAAAATGAGGACTGTTCAATTCCCTGTTAAGTTATAGTTATAGTTACTATTACTGTTACTACATACTACAAATGCTTCACGGGGACTGTTTTGTTCCATTTACATCATTTGTGTCTGTTAAAAGAACCAAACCCTCGTGTCTACTACACTACTTTTTCTCTCTACCGTGACTCCGTCTCTCCGTATCTATGTCAAGGTAGTACGACATCACCATGGTCGTACAGAACTTAAAACACTTGTAAGTATTTATTTTTTATCCCGATCAAGTGTCAAACGCAATTGTCTTGGATTTTTCGTCAATTTTTATGAGATTTATTTATAAATCTTACTATTGCATTCTGTCTTATGGCGAAGTTGCCGGAAATTTTGGCTGGGGAATTCAGAAAATTGCATTCATTGAAAAATTTATTTATATTATGGGATATAACGCTATTCTTCAGAGATATTTATTAAATTTACTACACAGAAAAAAAAATTAACTTGAATCAAGTAAATAATTTTGAAGAACTTCATTTTTTTAAACTGAGAAATTTTACTTGGTAACTTGATTCAAGAATTTTTTTCTATCAATTCAATTTTATTTTTTTCTATCTACACTTCATCTTTAAATAAATATCTTGAACGAATTTGAAGAAGAGAAAATTCTTGACTAGAGGGTAAATTTCTTGGCTTAAAAAAATATGAAGGATGATTGAAAATTTCTTAAATGAAGTCAAAGTTTCTTGAGCTAAGAAAATTTCTCCTTGCTCCAAAATAACTTTTGTCTTCCTTAAAATTTTCTTAGTGCAAGAAGTTTTTTTTTTGGTGACCGTCTTTTATTTTTCATGCAATAATTACCTACGACAAAATTTCTTGTGCAATATTTTCTCATGCACACAAAATCCATAATTAAAAGGCCATTTTATTGTTGAAGACTTATAAGCATTTTCGTAAATGATGATTAATTTTCGTCAGATTAATTTATTTTTGGTTGTCTTGAAATATTATTGTATGAGAAATTTTTGCTGGAAAATTTTGACATGGGTAATTTTTGCGGATTAATAAAGGCGGGGAGCCTTTTTTTTCTGTGTGCTAAATTTATACTTTATAATAATTTTTAGTGATTTTATAGTTAAAAAAAAATTCAAAAAAAACAATTTGATTTTTCTATAAAATAAATTATGATGTTAATTTTAAGTAAAAGTTAATAATGATAAGATAAACTAAATAAAAATTTTTACTTTTCATTTTTATCTCTTTAATCATGCACAGAAAAAAAAAAATAACTTTATTAAAAAGAAAAATTCTTAAACCAAGAAAATTATTTTGAAGAGTTTCATTATCTTGAATCAAAACGAAGAATTCTTTGTCAAAATTTCAAAAAAAATTTCTTAGATAAAGAATTTTTTACTTAAAAAATTGTTTTTTAGAACAAGTTAATTTTTTCTTCTTTGTAGTTTGAAGTTGCACGAAAATAAAAAAAATTTAGTGTTAAGAAATTAATTTTTAAATCTGTACTTAAGTATTATTATTGTTCCATAATAATAGATTTGAGACTGAAAATTAGCAAGGTCGAGAGGGAACTCAGCACAAGCACTAAGTATAGATATAAGGGTGCTGTAAACTTAATGACTGGCGACATGTAAACAAATTTTGTATAATTTATGATGAAGATGGAGCTATCGTTTGACCCACTTGTAGTAAAGAATTCAAAAGACAACTGTCCCTTTAAATTTAAACAGATTGAGCTAAGCCTTGGATCGGATCTATACTACACGTATTTATGAAGAGATTCAATTATAGCCCCTTTTTGGGCGGTACGGGTGAGTATGAGGTCGTCGAAGGGACTGGGAAAACCGAAAGTCGAATTATTTGTCCTAGATTCTTCTAGTGCCTTACTCTTAATTGATTGTTGAGTAACTTGTTTCTTTACACTTTTTTTTATTATTTTTTTGTTAACTTTATTGAGTTTGGCAGTTTTTATTTTCTTTAACTTTTTTTTTAATGTCTATTTAACTTTTAAAGTTTCTTCAACTAATGTCCTTTGGACATTTAAATAACTTAAATGTTTTATTACCTGATTTTTTAGACAAAAAAAAGTTTCTATTATTAGTCGAGAGAACTGTTGGAATAATAGGAAAATTTCGTGACCTACTCAGAATGTGGGGAAAAAGATACTAGTATATTTTCTTCTGATTCATTATATTGAGGAAATTTCCCTGAATCAATAGCAGACTATTTTTGTTAGTAAAGACAAAGGCTGGAAAGCGTATAAAGTATTCTTCTTTATTACTTGATTTGTTTTTTTTTTTTTGTTTATGTGGAAAAGTAGATGATGTATCAAATAACAAATAATTCCAATGATAAAATTAAATGAAATCTAATCACCCATTCACTCAAATATGAGATTGAGCAGACTGAAAAGGAGCACAGTAAACCAACTAATCGTTCCAGTTGATGTTATCAAAAGTGTGGTAAATTTTTTACTAAAAATAAATCTTTTTTTATAGTCTTTGTAGTCATGTTATATTTATGTGTTTATTTATATTTTTTTTTTTTTAAATATAAATATTGAACTTTGAACAAAAATTTGTTTATTATTATTATTATTTTTATTTTTATTACTAATATATTAATTTGTATTTTTTACAATTTTTTTTCTTAATAAAAAGATTGAACTTGTTAACAAAAATTTGTTTTTATCATTATTATAGCAACCTTGCACTCACTATGTGACTGCCGTGACTTGTGAACTATAAATAAATATAATTTTGCTTTATTAAATAATGACTTTTGTTAAATTGCACCGAACTTGGTTAACTATTGACATTTTTAAAGATATAAGCTTATCCTGATGTTACACTCATCAAGAGCTTTTATTTGAGTACCCACATGCATTTTTATATATTTTTCATATATACATATATATAATATATATAAATATATGAAAAAATGATGTGGGTACTCAAATGAAAGGTCTCGATGAGTATAATGTCGGGGTGAGCTTATATTTAAAAAAATGTCAATAGTTCTCAAGATATTTGTTAAGTTGCACTGTACTTTTTTAACTATTGACGTTTTTAAAGATATAAACTCATCTCGATGTTACACTCATCAAGAGCTTTCATTTAAGTACCCACATGCATTTTCATAT